TGCTTCACTGTACCTTCCAATATAATGTGCCCGAGTATTTACGGCAAAATCTTACTGTACTTTCATTCTCTTTTTACGTGTGATCTTATTATTAATTCATTTTCTTTTTATTTTCCTTCTAAAATAGGGCCAAAACATTATATTGATCTTTTCAAATTATGTGAATCAGTGGATTATATTAAGATTTCCTTTTTAAGATAGCAAACTGGGCGCTGGTTCTGATAAAGCAAAGATCCACTGGGCTGTATTAAAGATGAGGATGAAAATAATCATTTTCTACCATATTCTAAGTGCTCATCCTCGGGATGTAATTCCTCCTTAACTTTTTGGTTCCCCACCAAAATAATAGAATAACTGGGAGACCCATTAATTTGGCCTTTCAGAGTATAGCCCCGCCTGCCCCCAGCCTCAGCTCTTACTTGCCCTTGCTGCAACCCTTAGTTGTAAGAATTTTTCTGCCTGTAGTACTTTTGGTCACCACCTCTTCCAGCCTTTCTCCCATTCACTGGTGACCACCTGACTCCGGACCTAGCTGAAGCTCATCCTCTGTGAGATGGGAAGTGACTCTCATCCTTACCACCAGCTATAGTCTCTCCATTGTGTGTATCTCCTGATAGCCATGCTGCGAAACTTTACATTTATTTTCCAACACATGTCATGCTGGCCCCTACAGTGTTTTTGATAAAAGAAAACCTTCTTCCCCTCTTTTAACAATAAAAACTTAAAGGAAAGTCCTGAGTACAATACTAAGGGCTTTTTTTCCTGTCATATTTGAGACATGTTCCTAAAATAATACCCAGTAACCCCAAACAATTTAGTGTGCATTCTTAAAAAGAACATTATTTTCTTTTGCATAACTGTATGTCAGTCATAAAATCAGAAAATTTGGGTTGGGGATGTGGAATCCTTCAATGGAAGAGCACTTATCTTACGTGTGAGGCCCTGGCTTCCATCCCCAGCACTCCCTAAAAATCAGAAAATTCGTATTCCTTCTGATGTAATATAACTATCACCCTTGCATTTCTTTTGCTCAAGTTTTTTTAAATAATAAACTTCAGTATCAATGTTGCATTCATATGCCATATCTCTTCAGTGTCCTTCAGTCTGTTCCTGTTCCTCAGTATTGCCTAGGCATCTATGAACATGACAGTCTTTTTAGAGTGTCCCTCAGTTTGGGTTTATCTACCATTTCCTCCAGATGAGCTTCTGCTGCTTTGGCAGGAATGTGATACACATGGTGCTGTGTTCTTTTGATGTGCTTGCTCAGGTAGTGCAGCATTTCAGCTTGTTTCATTGCTCGAACAAGTTGTTAGTGTCCCAAGGCATCTTTCTTTTTCCCTTTGAAATTAACAAATACATTGTGAAGAAATAACTTTGAGACTATGTGAGTAACTCCATTCCCTCATCACACTTCATTTCAGTTATTTACATCTGTATCAACTCTTGGTTTCCTGTTTTAGTATAACTTTTCTATTGTTATTTGTTTGGCTGTTCAAATCGTCACAGATTTTGTTAGTGGGAACCCTTCCTTACTAGTTATTATGTACTCTTGATATGTCCAGATATGTGTTGAGCACAAAGCATTTCCAGCTCCAGCTTTGGAAGCTGACATTTCTTCAAGGAGCCTTGGTTCCTTTTAGTAGAGAATAATATTTAGAAACCAAGCTCTGGGCACTAAGTGTGCTCATTATAATTGGGGTATCACTGCTTTCAGGGCTTCTCAGTGGCTAAACCTAGAGAATATATGTACATATGCTCACTATGTGCATACTTATTCTTCCCATTCTTTTATCTATCCCTGTCTCTTGACTGAGCATTGTAATTTCACATCAGAGACCATGTGGAGAGGAATCCTTCTATACTAACTGAGCATTTCTAGGTCTAAGACTGTGGATGGCCTCACCCAGAACAAGGGCCCTTCATCTGACTGTCAGGAATGGAGTAAGGGAGAACCAGGGACAGTTACATTAGTCATGGTTAGTGAAAGAGGCATGGATCCTGGCACGTGCTTGGGAAGTAGATCACTCCCCTTTGGAGTTTTTCCTCTCTGCTGGTATGGTCCTTGACCATTTCATTATTCTATCCAGAAATTTAGAAATGCTTACAAAACTTTCTTAGATCCTCCCACCCTAACATTTACTTTCTACCGTTTACGTGTCTGTCTTCCCAACTGGTACTGTGTCCTTCTTGAATGCAGAAACTCCTTGTGATTTTGGCCCCAGCTTTGGACTAAACCAGCATACAGAGGTCCATGTAGTAAAGATGCAAGCAGTTATGTAAAGGTAGCAAGCACAGCAATAGCAAAGAGGTTTGGGCCCTTTCGGGTGCCAGGGAGGAGCAGCCTAATGGAGTGTTTATTTCCTGTCTCTGATTGGGACGTATTGTTGACTCACTGATGACAGACAGGCACAAAATGGAGTGAAGGCGCCATGTCCTCACCTGCAGCCTCCAGGCAGCACAGACCGTGGTGCCAGCACTAATGAAGCACGACCGGAAACACCACAAGACAAAGCTCAGCTGTGAACCCTGGCCTCCCAGCCGGGAAACAGGGACCCTTTGAAAAAGAAGACAGCTGGGTTTTGGTTTTAGACCTTAACACTGCCATCACTAGATACTCATCTGTCAACGCACAGGGGACAACATGTGGGGAACAGTTGTGTCCAGTCAGGCTGAAGGGAAAAAGAAATGGCTGGTTTCCAAGGTAGCTGTAAAACTTCTCCAGCCAATGGTTCTGCCTAGCGTAGCCAAAAAGAATTGATTTGGTGAGACACGGGCTGAGTGTGAGAAGCTGAGCTGTTTGTTATGGGCCAGGTAGTCATCTTCCTTGCCATGTCACCTTCCGTCAGCTCACAGCAAGTGAGAATGTAGAGGCTGGAGGCTTTGCGCCGAAGTCATGACAGTTAGTTGAACTTAGTTGTCTGAAGCTGCTTCACTATACTGCACTCTGGTCCTGAACCATCGGCAAAGCCAACCCACCCATAACATGTCCTCTAGCTTTCCTGAAGTGAACTCAAATTCACTTTCATTTGCTTGAGGCCAGTATTTCCTCTTCTTGGCTTTTTCCCTTCCCCCAGCTCCCAGTTGCTGATTTTAACTAGTGGTATTTTCCTCTCAGGAAAAGAAAGATTTGTAATCCTTGGTTGAATTTGTTTATTAAGAGTCCTCTAATCTGTGTAGGAGTTTTCTTCTGAGGGGATTACTTGTTATACTCTAATGGCTTTTAACTCGCTGAGGTTTACTTAGCAGAAGAGGAAGGGAGACGTTATCTCCTGCCTAATCCCTCTTGAATGTTTACATTTTTCTGCAGAGTCACAGGGACTGCGGAGAGTGCAGCAGCCATTTGCTCTGGAGTAGTCCATATGTGGCTGCCAGAGCTGATGGAAACATATTAACATAAGTGATAATGCTGTCATAGAAGTGAAAAGTTAAGTTGCTTATCAGTATATTTTGATAAGCTACTTAAATTTTACAGTAGCATGTGCTGGCTTCAGGCAGACGTCACTGATAGGGGAATGTGCACTTTATCTGTCCTCTCTATTGCCTCTCACTTCATTTATTACCCTCAGCAGTGCAGCCAGAAATCTGTACGGGTGCTGATCCCCTCTCCAGGCAGGATGTCACATGTGTTCTCGGCCTTGGATAGAGCTCTCTATCATTAATGGGCACCATTAGCTCAGCAGTGCAGACATGAGCAGGCAACAAGCACTTGGTATGATGCTTCTCACATGCCTGTTCTGTGTAGCTTTAGGAAAGTTCCTTAGAGAAAATCAGGCTATTTACAGCAAGTAGCAAAACTTCTTGGGAGCAGAGATGCTTTTCAGTGATTTTCCATAGCACAAGGTGACTTTGCCTTTGGTCTTTGTCTGTTTGTTGGGTAAACACTGACCATGAACTGTAGGCCAGGCTCCCAGTTCTTGACACTGAGAGACAAGGTGGGGTGGGGGGAGGAAAGTGTGCTCCTTTCTCTCTATTTGCACACAGTCTGTAGAGAAGACAGGAGCATCCTTGAGTGCTACACCATGTAGGGAATATTATACGAGGTCTATGTGTGTGACCAAGGGAGCACAGAAAAGAGAGAATTAGGGCATATGAGGCACAGACAGGGAAGAAGTGGGGTCCTGATAGGAGAATGAGCAGAAATCAACTAGATTAGACCATGTAGGTGGGAGGGAGAAAAGGGCTGAGGTGTGCTAGTTTAGGCAGGCTGATGTTCCTGGAATGAGACTGCCATGAGAGGAGCAGGCACATGATCAAGTAGAAAGAGATTAACAGAGAGGTGGTCAAGGGCCTGACAAGGAAAAGCCTCTAAAGCCACCCTAAGAAGTGCCAACTGCTGAATCCCCTAGTGATGGAACATCATTGCAGGGATTTAACTGAATATATGAAGCAGATTTGCATGTTACAAAGGCCAAAGAGTCACACAGAGGATGGATTTAAAGGCAACAGCCAGGCCATCTTGCAAGTCTTGAGAAGCAGTGGTCAGGAACTGGTGCAGGGAATTCGGCGTGAAGAGTTAGATAGTCATCTTGCGGTCAGTATAGAATAAGTGCAGGAGAGGTACAGTCTGAAGTATCAACAGGAGTGTCTTGGGGTGCCGGGGGCCTATGGCACACCTTGCAGATACCAGGAGCTGTTTGTGTCCAGTCATGAGAATTGGGTAGACCCTGTCCTCGGGATGGTGGGTATGATAGGAGAGGCCTGGTGACCGCTCAGAGATGGGCCTGATTGCAGAGTCTGCTTTGAATTTCTTCTCTGTGAATCAGGTCTAGCTCTGAGGCATGAGAATAATTCATAATGGACATTCACTCCTCTGCCTCCACAGGCAATTTTTTAAAATCCCAGAAATAATTAGCATTTTGCCCATCTGTGATTTCAGCACAGTCTATGACAGGAAGACTCTTCAGGATATAGAGGAAAAACCCAAATGTATCTGTCTTGAGTTGGATCCTGGTTCTGTTTTTTAACTTGCATGCTAATATTTCTGTTTCTTCTCCCCTCAGCTATCTCCCGTGGTTCGAGATATTTTATAAGCTACTTAACATCTTGGCAGATTACACAACAAAAAGACAGGTATTTGCCTTTTTAAAAATAATTACTTTAACAAGTAAACTTTAATTTTTATGATTATGAAAGCAATAAATGTGTTATATTTCACTAAAACATTTACCAAAAAATAAAAATATATGCTCATTATAGAAAGTGAGAAATTCAGAAAATAGTGGGAAGGAGAAGAAAATCGCCCTTAATCTAGCACTGCTCTCTTTCCTAAAATAAGTACTACTAGTATTGGAGTTGTTTTCTTCCTTATTTTTTTCTTTAAATTAAATAATAAGTAGACCCTTAGCATTCATAGAGTTAGTGTTCACAAATGTCTAATATTCCCAAGCAGCCCTGAAAGTTCATGGCATGAATGAAATTATAATTTTGCCGAGGTGCTGATTTGAATTGCTAATATCATGCTACAATCTAGGGTTTGCAAGTAATACACTTCATGCCAGTTAAGTGCCCATCCAGCTGCCCGAGGTCCCATATTGATAGAGTTTTGTGGTGTTTTCACAGTAATTTTTCTCCAAATGTAAAAGTTACTTTAAAATTCAGCTATGCCTAATTGTACTTTTGGAAGAAATAATATACTAAGATCTCATCCCTGTATGACAGAAGAAAATTGAACTATATTCAGACTTTTGTAGCCCATATTTTCAGGCACTATTAGAATAATTTCTCCCATACTACTAAAAAATATAAACATTTGTCATGGCCACATAACATCATATCACATGCATAGTTTTATAGGAATAGTTTATTCTTAATGAGCATTTTAATTATTTGGGATTTTTTCATGATTATAAAAAATATAGCCATTAGCATCTTTGAGCATAAGAAGCATTTCTTCATTTTGGATTGTTTCCTAAGAGAAGAATTCCAGACTGACAATTGTAAACTTGGTAGATGTAAATATTTTTAAATTTTTAAAACATTTGCCAAATTGCTTTCTAAAATAATTGTATTACTTCTTTAAAAATCTCTTTAGCAGCAGTATACAATAACACCTGGGTCACAGTACTCTCACCACATCATTTTTTGAGCACACTGTTTATTTGACATGTAAGAAGTCTCATTGTTTTAACTTCATTTCTTTGATTATTAGTGAATTTAATATTTGTCCATGTATCTAATTTTTTACATTTATTTCTTGTAAATAGCATAGGTTTTATAGTTAAAGTGATCTATTATGCCTGCTAAATTTTTTTTTCATTTTTTTTCCTGCAGAACCCAAGTTCTGAGGAATATTCCATTAAAAAAAAATACTGTAGTTCATTATTATTGGGGTTGAAAGGAGTGAAAGCTGTGCTTCATTTCTCCTTAAGATTCATACAATGTAGGCTCTGAGAAGTCCTACAAGAAAGAAACCTTTGTTGTGCAGTGCTTCCCCTATCATTTGGCCCCGAGGCCTTTTTATTCCATGGCAAATAATATTCTGAGATAGCTGTATTTCCTGAAACACACTTTGGGAAGTGCTGTTTTGGAGGAAAGGTAGAAATTGCATGTATGATGTATAAATCTTGTCTTTAAGTTAGATTTACTCCTGATTAGGTCACAGTAAAAGAAAAGAAATCTAATAGAAATGGAAATAGTTCTCTTGATCACTATTCTCATTCTGAAAGAAGTTTAGCTGGCAGGGATTCCATCATAAAGGATTTTACTCTTTGATAAGTGAGTTAGAAAGTTGCCTTGGGTCTGGACATTGATTTTTGATTCACAGCTATCTTTAGTCAGATATTCAGATTTTCAATCAAATTTGAAAAGTATCTTTAATAAATAAAATTGTATGACATGTAGGCCCTTAACATTTTTTTAATTAGAGATTGATTCACAGTTTTCTGAAAAACAACAATAGAACTTAATATACTTAAAAAATATATCTTATGATCAAGAAACATTGGATAGGTACAGCATAGGAATAGAGGAGAGCAGATTATGACCCCAGTTCATTTTCCTCTGGGCCAATCCTTCAGCAAGGCCTCTGCCTCCTGGTGTGTTAGAGGCTGTTTTGCCAGTTGGAGGCTATTTTTCCTGAAGCCATAACTCTTTATAAAGTTTCTTCTGGTTACAGGAATTATGACAGAGGTGGTAGAGAATTAGTCTACAACTGGCTAGTTTGCAAGGTGTTGGCTACCAGATTAGAACAAGAGGAAACAGTTTGCAATTAAAAAAAAAAAAATAGAATTACCTCTCCCTACCACCCCCAAACCCAAACTTCTCCCATCTACAAGTCTTTGGGCAAGTTGGGCCATGTAGGTTTCTCTTGCAGATTGTACATGTGTTTCTGTGTGTGTGTGACCATGGCAGCTCTGCATCAGGTGTCCAGGTCCCAGCCTAGTTATCATCCCCTGAAAGGGACCCTGAGGGCAGCCATGTAGAAGGGATAGTAAGACAAGGTGTCTGAGCTGAACAGCTGCCTGTTCACAGTGTGGGTGTCCAGATTTTGGCTTCTAAGTACCATTCCCCACTAAAAGGAACCATGGCTCCTTAAGGAAATGGCTGGCTCCAGTGCTAGGCAAGGGAAAATATAGGATGAGCCTAAAATATCTTGTGTACCAAAAAGTAAGGAAGTACTAAAAACATGATAGGGACCTACCAGAAGAACAACAACAAATTTGAAGGGCCAAGAGTCTTCCACTAGTCCTCTCTGGTAGCGTTAAGACAAGTCTTGGGCCCAGGATATAGCTCAGCAACACAGTGACTGCCTGGCAAGTATGAGGTTGTAAGTTTGATCCCTGGTATTAAAAAAAAAAAAAAAAAGACAAGTCTTGATAGCAAGGGATTATGGCCTACTGAATAAACCAAAAACCAAGGACCCAGTACAATATAAATGAGTGAATGGTAAGTTGAAAATTTGAGGAATGAGACATTTACAGTAAGTATCACTCCATGAAATACTCAATAACTACAAAGGGAGTCATCTCACAATAGAAATAGCAAGATGAATGAAGTGATGGAAATATCAATAAAGAAATTAAAATTTGAATCATGAAAAAATATCAGATAATTGAGAATTGACAAAATGGGTGAGCTCACATCAATATTATACAAATCTAGGAAGAACTGAGGAACTAACTGTTCCAGACAGAAGAAGACTAGAGAGAATAAGATCTAAAGATTAGATGGTATGCTGCAGGTTAATTTTCTGATCATGATAATTAACTGTGCTTATGGAGGATAATATCTTGTTTGTATCTGTGGATGATGGGGCAGGATGTCAGTGATGCATTCTTGGTTCAGGAAATGAAAAGCTTTTTATACCATTTTACAACTATCCCGTAAATTTGAGACTATTTCAGAACAAAAGTAAACACAAATGCCCACACCTGTAAGTTCATGTGCTCTGTGAGAAATCTGTTTGTCTATCAGAGTTCAAATGGAAACAGGCTTATAGTCTTGACTCATCCACTTTTTTCTTAAGTTCACTTCCAACGGCAGAGGGTCCTGGGATTGAATGCAATGCAATGGCTGTGCAGCTGAGTGTGTGATGTGAGACAAGTTGCTTCGCTTTTCAGAGGCTCGTTCATCATATCTGTGAAATGGGGTCGTTGGAAGGATCAGATACATAACAAATAGATACCAGTGTGAACTTATCACTGTTATATTAGCACAAAGAATTCCACCAGGTGGGAGAAATGCCTTTTGAATCATTCTATAATCAGTGTTCTTTTGAGCATTTTAAAGGCGAATTTGTTTTCAGTTGAATAATTTGTACTTCTTTGTATGTCATTCTGTTGCTCAGTTTCACTAATTAAAATGCACAACCGTCATCCTATATTGTACTTAGTTCATTTCTAACTTTCCATAATTGGAGGCTGTCGTGTGTACCCAGTGAACACTTGATAAAATTAATTGAGGGTAATGATGATGAAGACAAGATCCACATTGCCATCATTATTTCTCCCAACCGCCCCCGCCCTGGAAGCTCAGATTGTTTGCAGTTAAAAGTTGTTGCTATGGAGTTGAGGGGATAGATTTGTGGAGAGCTTATGGTATATGATCCATAAAAGGCGGTCATGGTAGGTGTCTCACTGAGTAGTAAATGTCAAATTCAGTGTAGGAGGATCTGTTTGGCTCTTATGTTTGAGCCATACGCAGAGTCTTTGGTCCAGCCCTACTTGAATATCAAACTATTCTTGTAACAGGGCTGGCCTCGCCCACCCTCCCACTCATGCAGCCCTGCTCACTGTGTGCCCAAAACTACTAAGGGTTCAGTGTTGTGTTGTGACTGAGGCCTGCTTTTTCTTTCAGGAGAGTCAGTGGAATGAACTTCTTGAAACTCTGCATAGACTTCCCGTCCCAGACCCAGGCATGTCTGTTCATCTCAGCGTGGTAAGTGGGGCAGAAGAGAAGCCATCCTGAGAAAGCATTTCATATGAACACTCAGAGGGAACTGGCCAAATGGGATCACATTTAGTCATCTGCACCTCGCCTTCTCCTACCCTGAGTACTCTGAGAACTGTGGGCTTATGGCAGATAAGGGGGACTTCTTCCTTTCCCTGAGATTTCATGAGAAATGAATGGTTCTCAAATGCGCGAGACTATTCTCTGGCCATCATCCTTTCACCTATACCTCCTTGAACACAGATTCTAGGTGGGAATAGGATGGCTGGCCCTGCCTGCCTCTTCAGCCTCTGTCGTGGACTCCCTGGTCACCCTTTGCCCCTGTTCTGCTGCACATCTCCCATTTTTGAAGCCCATCCTGCAACCCCAGCCTTCAGCCTTCTTTCTCCCTGTTTGCCAGGTCTCCCACACACATCCTTCAGAATCAGCTCTGATTTTATTTCCAGAGAAATCCTAATTTGACCTTGCAGGCTTAGCTAATGCTTCTCGTAAGTTACCCCAAGTACCTTTTATATTCTGTAGGAATTAGTTTTACCATATTGGAATGGTCTGTTTTCCTGTCTCCCTCGCTAGACTGTGTGTCCCATCAATACAGAGAGTAAGAATGCTTAACATGATTTCTTCTATACAGTAGGAATCATTTCTTTGAATGCTTTTAAAGATATGCTGCATCTTCTGCAGTGCACTAGGGTAGAATTCCTCTGTACTACCTACTGGGAGATTTCAATCCTAGTTGATTGTTTTGCCACTGACCTAGGTAACCTTAATCAAGACCTTTAACTTTGTGGGCCTCATTCTCCTCATCTGTTAGCTAAAGCATCAGAAGAGGTTCAGGGGATCTTTTTTACATTTCAGTTACTGGAATTTTCTTAATTGCCTAGCTAGAAGGCTTATCACTACCTTCATCAAAATTCTCAGATAGATAGGCTTTACAAGTGTCCATGATTCTCCAGGAGTCGTTTTTCTTACATTGTGGGGCCTGAAAGTTTTCTCTTTCAGATTTATTAGGTATAGTGTTCGTGTTCAGTGGTTAGGAAAAATATCTACCTCCTAAAGAAAGTTAATATTTCTTATAGGTTTCTCCAAATGATAAAATTGAAAGCCATATTATTACCAGTAACTAATGACAGATCTGCTGCTTTATTAAGCTTTTAATGTATACCAAATATGTATTTCTAATATTCAAAACAATTACACAAAATAGTTACTAGCATTCTTATTTCATAGACGAACAGTTTAGAAAGGAAAAGGTACTTGCCCATGCCAATTCATATGGCAAGAAATGGTAAGATTCAGGTTTTTAACCTAAAGCTGGCCTCAAAACCGTTTGTGTTTTTCCATGGTGTCATGTGTTGGAAGAAGAGGAAAGCCAGATGTGGTGGTACACACCTGTAATTCCAGCACTCGGGAGGCTGAGGCAGGAGTATTGCCATGAGTTTGAGGCCAGCCTGGGATACATGAGACCCTGTCTCAAAAAACAACAACAAAGTCAGGGATTTGGCTCAGTGGTTCTGCCGCCTGCCTTGCAAGCTGAAGGCCCTGAATTTGATCCCCAGTACAAAAAAACAACAAGACAAAACAAAAAAACACAAACAAAAAAAGGAAAGCAGGGAAAAGGGAGGGAAGGAGGAAGTAAGAAAATTATAGAGGTTTTTGCTGATTTTAATAGAGTGTAGGAAGGAAAGAAACCTTGGTACAAAAACTCCTGCAGGCAAGGGGGTTCTGTCTAGAAAAGAACAAATGAGCTTTAGTCCTGCCCTAGACATCACTAAAGCTAAGCAATCCTGCCTTTGTCTCTGTCCCTTTTCCTAAGCAGCTTGATCTCGCAGCTTCAGTCTGTAATCACATCCGACAGGTAGCTCTGGAGGAGCCGAATGGGTCACCAGCTGCTGGGGAGGAAGGGCTACTCCTTCCCCAAATGGCTGCACAGGCAGTCTGCTGCCAGGCCTCAAGGACAAGACAGCTTGGGCAGAAATAACTGTTGGGGTGTGCAGCTGTTTCATGCTAGTGGTTTCTAGGAATGTTACTGACCTCCCCTGGTCCCCAGCATTTCATGGGCAATGGAGCAAAACGGAATCTCAAAGGACAGCCCTGGGACTACTCAATTTTGGAATTGCTTTGGCTCACTATTTACAATCCATTGCATCTGTAGAGGCAGATTTTTTTTTCCTTTCTTCATTATGAATTCTCTCCAAATTGAAATCCCAAAATGTTGATAAAATATCAGTCCTGGACTTGGGATCTTTAGTCATTCTATAAGAGACTATTTCCATGTGCCTGATTTATATGATTGAGAAAAATAGAAATGCAGCTGACAGTTGAGAGCAAATAATAATTTTATATTAAAATACCATTAAATAGTAGGCACTGCATATATATATAATTATTTTTAACAACTATTTTGAAGCAGACATTATAGTTCCCATTTACAGATTCTAAAACTGAGATTATGTGCTATTAAGTGAAGTTGCCTGAACTCACATAGCTGCTAAGTGGCCGACACGTAAGAGAATTTTCTCTCACTGGTGACTCCATCACTGTGTGGACATCTGGTTCTGAATGTTTCCAGAAGCTCTGTTTTAGGAATGTGGTATGAATTTGGTATCTCATGGGCTCAAATTTCAGCCTTGTGCTTTACTTTTCCTATTCTAATCCTCACTGTTAAATTAGTTTCTTTGTCATACCATCTACTATATTTCATAGGTAATGTTTTGACATACATGCATAAATTTTGTAATAATACATTGAAGGTTATATTTTTTAAAAAATATTTTAAATAATTGTTTTTATTTTTTAGTTTGTTATTTTAATTCAAATTCTCATAGCTATAATTTGTACATAAAAAGCATGGGTATAATAGTCTGTTGTGGACAGGGCATAGTTCTCATTATATAGACCTAGTTCTGCCACATATGAGCTCTCTGATCTTTGAATATTTTACCTCTCAGAACGTTAATTTATAAGAATCCATTTATAATATGATGATATTATAATTTATTATGGAGATTAGAGATAATTTATAAAGTGCTTATTGTGAAGTGTTCCATAAATTTCTGCTGAATATTAGACAAATGTCTCATACTATTGTTATTGTTACAGTGGTTCCTAAAGCCTTCTCTTTTTGAAAGCCTGTGCATTCATTGTTCTAGGCCCTACTTAGTTTGCAGTTACCCAGAAATAGGGTGTAGGGTAGGACTTCTTAAAAATGACACTTGGATGTCCATGTTTAAACCTTGGTCATGGCTAAGTTGACTGTCTCTGCATTTGACCTTTCCTAGCCTTGCACAATACCATCTTTAATGGGCCACACCAGGCTTTTTCCAGTCCTCAGAGTCTAACAGCAGCAAATGAGGTGTTATCTGTTGAACTTCTTTTCATCTAAACTCAAGGACACATGCTGGATACATATATGAAAATGCCTCCTTGAAAGTCTTTGAAGAGGCCAAATTTAGACCCCAAGTCTCCAACTCCCTCCACTAGCAATCCAACTGGAAGTTAGGCTTATTCCCAGATTGTGCTTCCTGGTGGGGCTCCCCATTATTAAAGATCTGTAGTGCAGTGATCCTTCAACTGGAACTGTCCTTAATATCACTTGGGCAGATTTTGGCCACAGTTTATAGGTGGATAAAAGCTCAGATGCTAAAAGAAAATGACAGCTTTGGTTGGCAGAGACCATCACTGAGGGGATTTAGTGCTGTTTGGTCCCTAGAGCCTACTTGCATTGTTGAACAATAAGTTGTGAAACATACTACTTTCATGTGTTCAGAAACCTGCAAGTATCATAAGGAAATTTAGCCTTGTAACCTCTTTAAGTTCCTCATTTATACTCCCTGAAGAAGTTCATCTCTCATAGAAAACAACTTTATCTACCAAACTGATGGTTTAATCCTGCTGGTTTAATCTAACATTGTGCTAAGAAAACAGTCCATGGATAATTTCCTGACAGCTCTGTTCTCTTCCTCTGAGTAAGGAAGTATCTTCAAATCATTTATTTGAATTTTGAGTAATACATTCTTCAAAGAAATATCCAGCTTGTACTTTTCTTTTCCAGCATTCTTACTTTACTGTGCCTGATACCAGAGAACTTCCCAGCATACCTGAGAATGTAAGTACTTGGGAGTGTTAAAATTTTTATTTTCTCTGTTTCCTACTTCTTTTAAAAAAAATAAAAAGATACATTTGAAAATATAATTATAAAAATCATAATTTTAGACAGAATATATTACAAAACTAAATGCAAAGAGAAAATGTATTATAAAAGGAGAAAAATGAAATTACTGCAAAGTATAGAGATCATAAAGACAAGGAAAAGATGTTATTCTACATTGATGTCTCATTGCCATCTTTTCTGTCATTGAGTTTATTGGTACATTTTAGATATACTGTACAGTTACATTCATTATTGGGGTCTTGTACCTTTACATGACAGGTTTTGGTTCTCATTTTTTCCCCTTGTCCCTGTGCTCCCTTCACCCCCTCCTACCCTCCCCATTTACAAACACTTTATTTCCATTTTTTCATTTTCTCGTATTTTTTCTTTTCCCTTATTCCCTTTCCTCTACCCTTCCCACTTTCCCTACACCTTTAGCCCTTTTCTTCCTATTTCACATTGTTAATTATCTCATTTAGGATCTTATGTACTATTATAGTTTTTTACACCAGAGAAACTATTTGGTATTTACACATGTGTGACTTATTTATTTCACTTAAGCGTATACCCTCAAAATGTATCCATTTTCCTATGAATCTAATTTCTCATTCTTTATGGTTGAGTAGTATTTTGTTTTATAGAAAAACCACATCTTCTTTATCCAATTTCCAGCTGATGGGCAAATGGGCTGTTTCCAAGTTTTACAAACTGTGCTCCTATAAACATGCGTGCACATACATCACTGTGATATGATTCTTTTAATTCTTTTGGAAAGATACCCAGCAGTGGGATGGCTAGGTCAAATGGAACCTCTAGTCCCAGCTCTTTGAGGTATCTCCATATTGATTTCTATAGTGGTTGCTCTAGTCCGCATTCCCACCAGCAATGGAGAAGGGTTCCTTTCTCCCCACAACCCCGCCAACATTTGTTATTGTGTGATTTCTTGATAGCAGCCATTCTTTGTGGGGTGAGGTGGAAGCTCAGTGTTGTTTGCATCTGCATCTCTCGAATGACCAGTGATGTGGAACATTTTTTCATATATTTACTTGCTGCTTTTACTTCTTTGTCTGAGAAATGTCTGTTCATTTCAGATGTCCATTTTTGAATCGGGTCTTTATATTTGGGGGTGCTGATTGTTTTGAGTTCTTTATATATTCTAGATAATAGTCCTTTGTCTGAGGAGCAGCTGGTAAAAATTTTTTCCCAAATTGTAGGTTGTCTCTTAGTTCTGTTGATGGTTTCTTTTGCAGTGCAGAAGCTTTTCAATAAAATGAGATCCCAGTTGTTGATTCTTTCGGCTAGTTCCCATGCTACTGAGGATTTGTTCATAAGTCTTTTCCTATGCCTATGTCTTCAAGAGTTCTGCCTAACTTATCTTCCAGCTAGTTTAATGTTTCTGTTTTAATATTTAGATCTTTAATCCACTTGGATTTTAATTTAGTGCATGATGAAAGATAAGGGTCTAGTTTTAATCTTTGGCAGCTTGAGATCCAGTTTTTCCAGCACCATTTATTAAAGAGGCTATCTTCCCTCCAGTGGAGGTGGTCAGCTCTTTTGTCAAAGATGAGGTAGCTGAGTACATCTCCAGAACTCTTTTTATCTTGCAAAACTGAAGCTCTGTACCCAATGAACATCTCACTATTCTCTCCCTTCACCAATTCCTGGCAACCATCATTCTACTTCCTGTCTGAATTTACTGCTCTTATATACCTCATCTAAATGGAATAATAAAATGTTTGTCTTCTTGCATATGTCTTATTTGACTTAGCATAAAATCTTCAAAATTCATCCATATTGTATGTGTCAGAATATACTTACTCATTAAGTCTAAATAATATTCTCCTGTGTGCATATACTCACATTTTGCTTATTTTTTCATCCATCAGTGGATGCTTGAGTTATAACCACCTTCTGATTATTGTTGAACATTGGTGTACAGTTATCTGAGTTTCCACTTTCAATTCTTTTGGTATATATTTAATTTTCTTTTCAACGTACTAAAATAAATGGTGTTGGTATTTTGTAACTATAGTAGATTCATGGAAAGAAAAATTTTCTAAGTTTATTATAGCAGAAAGATTAGAAATGTCAAGTAATAGTAATTTTATGGTGTTTAGGCTGTAGCATTGTGATCGGCTAACAGTCTTAATAAGTTGGGATTATCAAGAATATCCATAAAATTTATTATCTATATGATGAGGCTGTGGTAAAAAATGTTACTTCACTCATATTTGACATTAAGTAATAAAAAATTCAGACTGGAGTTCCCATTGCAACAACAATAGCCATTATTCCATTACTTTTCAAGTGATGTGGTCAGTGCTTTGCCTTTGTTTATTATTTACCTCTCTTAAGAAGCTTAAATGGTAACTGCCATAATTATTCTCATTTTATATCAGAAACAGAGCCCTGAGGATTTAAGTAACACACTCAATGACCTGCAAAAAAGAAGTAGTAGATTCAAAATTCAAATGAAGGCTGATTTTCAAGTCTTGAGTACTATACGTTGAGCACAGGATTTTTAGTTTTCATTTCTCAAAAAGTTCCATTGAAATGATAAAAGATGTATAAAATTAAGGAGGAAAAAATGGTCTCATCATGGCAGAGGAAGCCACTATGAACTAGGAAATTGGGGAATTTCTGCAGTATAGGAGTGATCACTAATGCTTAGGGGTCAGTTCTGTGTAAAAGTGGAGAAACTTAAAAAGAACCAGGAAAGAAAATCTTGAAAGAAGACAGAAACAGAGGCAAAAGATTATTAAAAGACCAAATAGCTAAAGGCTATTAAAGCATAAATTTCAAATGTCATGGAACTTTTATAAAAATTTATTATATACTATTTTCTAAAAATTTCAAAATAGAATACACATTAAACACTATGGGTCACTATCGTTTTATCAAAGTGAAATAAAGCTAGAAATCAATAAATTAAAATTTAAAATAATCATTACTTGAAATGGCAGCTTAATCATAGAGATTAAAATATTAAAATTGGATACTGTTTAGAAATTAATAACAAAAACACTGAAGAACAAATACCCAGAAAATGTGGTCAGAATCACAAACTGACAGCTTTGAAGCCCCTTTTCTCCACTCCTGTATTGGAATTGAACCCAAAGGCCTTCACACTGAGATACATCCTCAGCCTCATTTTAGTTTTTATTTTATTTTATTGATAGTTGATTGAAACAGTGTCTTACTAAGTTGCCCAGGCTTTGCTCAACCTTGTAGTTATTCTGCCTTATCCTCCTAGAGTGCCGCGATTACAGGCATGAGCCAGCATCCCCAGGTTTTTGAATGCTTTTGTAAAAGTAATAAACTTGAGTTTTAATTTAAGAAGGTAGAAAAAGAGCCAAATGTGGTGTCACACACTGTAATCCCAGTCTGAGAAGCCGAGGTGAAAGGATAGCAAGTTCGAGACTAGCTTGGGCAATTTAGCATGGTGCTGTCTCAAAATCAAAAATAAAAAGGGATGGAGATATATAGCTCAGTGCAAAGACACTGGATTCAATTTTAATCTTCAGAGACACCAAATAAACTAACCAAAAGAAGCTGGAAAAAGAATAGCAATTAAAAAATCCAAAACTAGAAAATGGAATTGCCATTTTCCTTACTTGTAAATACTGTTAAAATAAAATTGAAAATCAAAACATTTAAAAACTATTTTTGAAAAAAAATAATCTTAAACTCTTTTAATAAACTTGAAAACTATGAACAGACAAAATTTTGTAGGAAAATATAAATGATTGAAGGCACCCTAAGCTTTAGGTAATATGAATACAGAATAATAACTTGGAAAGCTTAATAAAATTCTGTTGCTATTTTCATCCTTGCCCCTACAGACATAGCAGGGTTTATAGGTACATAGATATGTTCGGGAAACAGGTAATTATTACTTAAATAGTTCCATTTCATAGAAAAATATATGTATGTGTATGTGCATGATAACAGAAAACAAGTGGAAAGCCTTCCCCATTTCAGGGAAGATCATGTTCTGAGTTTTACCTTCCTTCATCTTTATGATAATAATTTCAAAACTGTGCTGCTGGGAGCCCTGAAGATACTTTGGGGCCCCAGGAAGGCCTGAGGGAGATAGAAGCTGGCTGACCAGAGCACTCAGTCTCAGCACCTGTTTTATTTAGAGCAGGCGAATCCCCACTGTTTGTGTTGTAGTTTGGGTGATATTTTGTTTGAGACAAAATGGTTCCTTGATTTTCTTTTAAACTTTAGGAGCTACATATTTTTTAATGCAACTGGGAATCATATAAAATACAGTCATCTGATTTTCATCATAACAATGTATTATGAATTTGTGTAATACTTCTTCACAAAAACCTGTATTGGGTAAAATTAATACTGAAGTGCATGTTAAAAAAAAAAGAATAAAGAAAAGCTCCCATTATTGCTATCTCTTCCTCCATCCTCTAATCCCTTCAGAGTTTAATGAGCATCCCCCCAATCCTTTCTGTGTGAATTTACAGAATTTATGTGTGAATTGTACACTTTTAAACACAAATGTGATATTCATATTGTTGTGCACTTTTTGATTTAAAAGTATTCTAAAACCTTTGTTATCTACTCTGTTTCACCTTTTTTAGTGTTGTTTTTTGTTTTATTTTGGTACAGTTTGGGATCAAACTAGAGCCTCACACATGCTGGGCAAACATTCTACCACTGAGCTACACACCTCACTAATGATATTTTTGTTTCAAGGTTTCTTTATTCTTATTAAAGTGATGTATATTAATTGCTTAGAAAGCCATGTAGTACCACATAGTATTTGATGAAAGCCAGCAATTTCCACATTCTCTATATAGTACTTCTCACTTCTCATATTTCTCATAGTGACTTCTAACAGTTTTTAGTATTTCTCCATGTTCTGATTGCTATTCTTAATTTTTTTCCTGCTTGATATATCATCTATTGATCTTCTTAGGGAAGATGCAAGTTCAGTT